CCATACTCGTAATAATCGTATGTCTGTTTTATGCTCATTAAAAGCTTTTATGATTAAATAGCTTTTAAAGAGGTATATAAAAGGTACATAAATATAACTTCTCTATGACGTTAAAAGGTATAGACAAACTTGCTAATTTTTGATGCCGCATTAGTCGAAATTCGACTATAATTAATTGAAATTATAAATTTGAACATTATTATGATTCTATTGTCAAAGACTATTACTATATACTTCGATAATCACATATTTTGCCAAGACTGCACTATAGGCAAATAATATTAAAGATAAACAATATTAACCTATTCTCAATTTGACCACAGACTTTAAGCAATAACAAAAGTTTGACAGTAAATAAAGAGTATAATAATGTGTTTGTATCAAATACATGGTAGTGTGTGTAATGTTTTTTTATTTATTGATTTAATGTATTATTTATGCACAATAAAAAAAAAAATATTAGCATTCTGCCCTCTTTCTCTATATTCTCTATAAGTGTGGGAAATTTCGTAGCCCTCCGTCCGCGCAATTTTTGTAAAAAGGGGTACAAAGTTTTTGCTCACGTATTAATACACAGATTATCGCAATCAAAAGGGTCATCATTTGACACGTTAATAACATCTTCCAGCTTCCGAAGCTATTGTGTTGTTCATGTATCCGAATAACTGAAATAATAAAATGGTTATTAGCATAATCATAACCGTATCACTCATGAAAAGTGCATATTATTATTATTATTATTTTTTTGCTTAGATGGGTGGACGAGCTCACAGCCCACCTGATGTTAAGTGGTTACTGGAGCCCATAGACATTCACAACGTAAATGCGCCACCCACCTCGAGATATAAGTTCTAAGGTCTCAGTGTAGTTACAACGGCTACCCCACCCTTCGAACCGAAACGCATTACTGCTTTAAGGCGGAAATAGGCGGGGTGGTGGTACCTACCCGTGTGGACTCCCAAGAGGTCCTACCACCAGTAATTACGTAAATTATAATTTTACGGGTTTCATTTTTATTACACGATGTTATTCCTTCACCGTGGAAGTCAATCGTTAACATTTGTTGAGTACGTATTTCATTAGAAAAATTGGTACCCTCCTGCGGGATTCGAACACCGGTGCATCGCTTCATACGAATGCACCGGACATCTTATCCTTTAGGCCACGACGACTTCAAAATTTCATTAAAAAGAACAATACATTGTCGGATGCATAATGCCATAATTACCAATGACCAAACCAATTTACTGGTGGTAGGACTCACAAGTCCGCACGGGTAGGTACCACAGCCCTGCCTATTTCTGCCGTGAAGCAGTATGCGTTTCGGTTTCAAAGGTGGGGCAGCCGTTGTAACTATACTTGAGACTTTAGAACTTATATCTCAAGGTGGGTGGCGCATTTACGTTGTAGATGTCTATGGGCTCCAGTAACCACTTCACACCAGGTGGGCTGTGAGCTCGTCCGCCCAACTAAGCAGTAAAAAAAAAAACGAGGGTTGAAAGACTATTTCTTTTAAGCAACATTTTTACAACATTACAGAAGAGCCATTTAAAGCTTAAAGCTTGGAAAAAGTATTGTACAATTTCTAGATACTGTCTAGGTGTATTTAATTTGTGTCCCTCAATAATATGCTCTCATTAGTTACTCGAAAAGTTTTAATGCGTGTAACCAAAAAACCGTTGTTGGTTTTAAAAAACAAAAAACATGTGTCATCTTTTGACATTGATATAAAAAAAAATTTTTATGTGCGCACGTAGGTTCTACAAGTATCAGAAAAAAAGCTTCTTGAGCTATTTTAATGGAGTAAACTTAATTGAAGTTTCATTAAAAACTTCGAACTTTTGATCGTAATACCAAATAGAATGCACCTTCAATTACAAATATCTAATTATGGTCCCCAAAACTCAATGAACTGTGAGTTCATCTGTTTACATTCAATGAGTATCGCAAAAAAATGCCTAGACGAGTGAACAATCTCGCGACCCATCTAGTGTTGAGTGGTTACCGGATCCCATAGACATCTACAACGTTAATGCCACTACCACCTTGACAGTTCTATGTTTCAGTTGTATAGTTTAATAGCTGCCCCACTCTTCAAACTGGAATGCATTGCCTATGGGATTCTAACATTGACAGAGTCGCATTGAAAAGTAACCAATGCACCGGGCGTCTTACTCTTTAGGCCACGACGACTTCAGGCCACTCATTTGTTGTAATCACTCGTACGCCACCTATCATTTATTACTGGTAATAAACCTGAAGTGAAAGCAATAACCAAACAAGTTTAACTCAATCACAAACATATTGTTTTATTTAATTATTTAATTAATTATTATTTTTTCGCGCCGGATCGTCTCAGTGGGTCGCAATTCTGAGCCGGTGGTAGATTCTGCGAAGCGCTGCTTTTACTAGGGCTAGTGTTATCAAATTCTGTCAGGTTGAGCTCGTGGGCTCATTTACCCGTCTGGGCGTAGCTAGAATAGCCTATTAGGCTACCAGCGGATAAGTAGGGGAAAAAATAATATTATTTTTAGTAGTCAATACAGATTCGCCGAGAAAAATTTCCAATCAGCATATCGTATACCACGGATGTCTGAATTACATAGTCGCGTAACACTTATTAGGGACAATTCATGATGAATGAGAACGCGTCATGTATTATAATTGGTCGTGTTAATAACGCGACACGGTTACGTGCGAATTACATTAAACCCGATATATTATGCAATGGCGGAACCGCCTGTAATTGCGGATGTATTGTCAAACGTATCCACATATTGGCTTTCGAATATCTAAAGGAATATCAGTCTAAAAGTCCCACTCTCTATAAAAATATAGCGGCTAATTTATATAATCCTTAGATCATGGCGTTAGCGCGCTGATGTACGCACACTTTTTTATTAGCGTGGATAATTCACAGGATATATGTTTAGTGTCTAATGGTGTGCCGTTGAAAGGAAACATAGAGAACAGACAAATATCGCCCATAGACACAGCCCACTGAGTTTCTCGCCGGATCTTCTCAGTGGGTCGCGTTTCCGATCGCGTGATAGATTCTGCGAAGCACTGCTCTTGCTAGGGCCAATGTTAGCAACACTACGGTTTGAGCCGCGTGAGCTCACCTACACGTTAGGGCAAAGCTGAAACAGCCTCTCAAGGCTATCAGCATAGGTTTAAAAAGAATCCCAAAGAAATTAGTTTGCCCCTTAAACCGGAAGGCAATGTTCGAAATAGGTTTCTCAAACTTTAAATCTAGGGCAATTTTCAAGAAAATTATAATACATGCATTATTAAATAGATTATCACGTTTCGATTTTTTATTATATATAAATCATTCGCCATTATAATGGTGAGGTTTGGGGGAGTGAGGCCTAGCAGTGGACGTCTGTCTGTGAGGGCAGATAGAATAGAAAAATAATGTAAGCAGAATACATTAAAAGTTTAAACGGAAAGGTATGTATTTATATTTTTTTAAATTTGATTAATATGTCTATGTATTAATACGTGAAGCAAAAACTTTGTACCCCTTTTTACGAAAATTGCGCGGACGGAGGACTATGAAATTTCTCACACTATAGAGAATATAGAGAAGGAGTGCAGAATCCTATTTATTTATTTATTGTGCATAATTAATACATTTAATCAATAAAAAAAACATTACACACACTACCGTGTATTTGACACAAACACAATATATATTTTATTTATTGTTAAACTTTTGTTATTGCTTAAAGTCTGTGGTCAAATTGAGAATAGGTTAATATTGTTTGTCTTAAATATTATTTGCCTATAGTGTAGTCTTGGCAAAATGTGTGATTATCGAAGTATATAGTAATAGTCTTTGACAAAAGAATCATAATGTTCAAACTTATAATTTCAATTAATTATAGTCGAATTTCGACTAATGCGGGATCACTAGTAATATTAACTACATGAACAATTGCCAACTTGATTGCAACACTACCGCTATACAACCGCATGTTAACGTCAATGTATTTTAGTTTTCTCTCTCACAAAAACAGCACTCAATGTGTCCAATCTTGGGTCGTTGTAGCTGAATATTTATTCATATCTTTTTGAAGAATAAAAAATTAGCAAGCTTGCCAATAACTATTAACGTCATAGAGACGTTATATTGTCGAACCTTTGTTTTTTGTTATTAACTAAAGACTAATTCTCTTGATCGGCTGACTGTCTCGGTGGTACAGTAGCTAGAGCCTCTGAATGTTGCGCCGACGGTCGCGGGTACGATTCCCGCATCAATGCATGGTGTGATGAACAAATGTGTTTGCTCTTTGTCTGGGTGTTTATTTTCTATATATGTACATATTTAAACATATATAAATATGCTTATCAGTACTTATAACACTGGGAATCCTAAATTGAGGCCGGATGATTGTGCGTGATTTGTTCCCAGTTATCATTATTATTATCAATCTCTCGCGTGTATTATTATCATTAGATATATTATTTCCAAATTTACAGTTTTCGTGGCTAACCTGTTCAGTAAATAAATAATAATAATTATTATTAATAATAAATAAATAAATAAATATAAATATTTACTAACAATCACGCCACGTTAACTGGTCCCGTGCTAAGTTCGTAAAGAGCTTGTGTTACAGGTACCAGATAACGAAAATAAATGTAAGATTTTTATTATACACATACATATATTTAATATAAATCTATAATCCTGGAAAATACATTTATATTTATCATACAAATATCTTCCCTTGGCGGGATTCGAACCCGCGACCACCTTGTGTAGTGACCATGTCACTTACCACTACACCAGACGGCCGTTAAAGTAAAGTGTAAAGTGTATTAAAAGTAACAGTAATAAACGCAAGATCAAACCATAAAAGTAGCTTTAATTATGTCTATGACTCGTGTAAGCCGAAGGAGAGAAAACAATTTATTTGAGAGACATCTGTTAAATATAAAAAATCTAATGAGATTGGGTTTGTGAATTGTGGCCGAAAATAGTAACTACGAACCTTAACAAATCCAATAATGTATCGGAAGTGAGGGTGTCTTTGGTCACGATCTTCGTGGTATTAAGCTCCTCGTTCCCCTTGGAGTTACTGCCCGGCTTAATGGTCGTCACCAAAGCTATTCCCAACATGACCGCGCAGACTGTCGTGGTCATATAGTAGATGATGGCGCGGAGACCGACCCTGTAAACTCATGGTGTTTTAGTGCCATTATTAATGAACTAGGATTAATGTTTAACATTTTCTTTATTGCTTCGATGGGCGGACGAGCTCTCAGCCCACCTAGTGTTAAGTGAAGCCCATAGATATGCGTAACGTAAATGACAACACTCATCTTGAAACATAAGTTCTAAAATCTCAGTTTTAGAGTAAATCGGCTGCCCTGCTCATCAAACCGAAACGCATTACTGCTTCACGGCATAAATAGGCAGAGTGAGTGGTACCTACTCGTATCGGCTCACGACACAAGGCTCCCTACACCAGACGTCCCGAGATCCTACGAGACCAGCAAGACATCCTACTATGTAGAGTAAGAGTACATGATTCCAAATTGTTCTCCGGGATCATATGGATATCGCTTGGCACCAGTATCAGCATTTGGTCTCTTGAAGTGTCTTAGGCCCAATCCTCCATTGCCATAACAATCAATTATCCGTGTATGAGGAAATGCCACTCGGAAATAATTATATATTACATCCTGTAGGAATAGTGGCTTTTTCTAAACGAAAGCTATCCTATATTAATTTCTGTCCTCTCGACAAAGTATGTGCCATTTCTCACAATTATTAGAATAAATCTAATATTAAAAAAAAAATATATATTTAAAAAAAAAAGACATGTCCGCTGAGTTTCTTGCCAATTCTTCTCAGGACGGAGGCTAGTTCTTGTGAATTGGCGGTAGTTCTTTTGACGTTCAATAAGTATGTACTTTCATTTATGTTGAATATATATATATATATATATTTAGTTGATTTGATTAGATTTGAATAGGTAAGACGTGGAAAAACATACACAAAAAAAATTAATATCACTAAAGCGAATTAATTAATAATATACATAAAGAAAACATATTCGTAAAATAGAAAAAAAAATTACAAAATCAAAAAATAAAACTCAAAACTTACTTCCCAGAGAGGCTTAGGTCCAGAGAGCCGATAGCTGAAACGATTGAGGAGACCAGCAAAGGCACTATCAAACTCTTGAGCATCCTGAGGAAAAGCTCCCCGGGAAATTGGAAGTACATGACGTCTCGTTTGGACCACTGATGTCCGGATGCCCGCAGGCCACATCCCAGCAAGGTTCCGGCCGCTACGCCGACCACCGTCAGGATGGTGAGTAGATTCTCCCGTATAAACTTCGGACACGCCTTACGATTGAATTGCAGTGGCATTTTCGGCTATCTTCTTTCTGTTGGAATAAAAAGGTGCTTTTAATTACATATACTTTAGTATATCTTGATTTATTTATTTTTATTGCTCTTGTAGGCAGACGAGCACACGGTCCACCTGATGGTGGTTACCGTCGCCCATGGACTGGGGGGCAGAGCCAAGCCACTGCCTACCGTTGAGTACTCTCCGCAAGCCTCGTTTGAAAAAGGACAAGTCATAGCGCTCGGGAAACACCGTGGAGGGGAAGCTCATTCCAAAGCCGGAATTTATCGAACGTAACATTTTTTACTATTTTTATAAAAATTGGGTAGGTAATATCTAGATTTACTGGTGGTAGGACCTCTTGTGAGTCCGCGCGTGTGGGTACCACCGCCCTGCCTATTTCTGCCGTGAAGCAGTAACGCGTTTCGGTTTAAAGGGTGGGGCAGCCGTTGTAACTATACTGAGACCTTAGAACTTATATCTCAAGGTGGGTGCCGCATTTACGTTGTGGATGTCTATGGGCTCCAGTAACCACTTAACACCAGGTGGGCTGTGAGCACGTCCACCCATCTAAGCAATAAAAAAAAAAAATATACATATTTAGTACTAAAAGCTTACGGAAGTTACGGACATCACAATGCAAATATCGTAAGAATTAAGACAATAGTTGAAGTCTCAATGTTATTGCACCCTAATTCAACGTCCAACGCTTAAAGCATTCAGTTAGAAAAAATATATAGATTTATTTATTTGCCTATATTTTTTACGTGTGCTTTTTTATTGGAATAAATATACTAAAAAGCTCACGGCCCTTCTAGTCTTAAGCAGTTATCAATAGATACGTTCTGATCCATCTATATAAGTAATTTACCATCCATATAAAAAAACATGAGGTTACGTGATGTTGAAAATGTTAACTACTAAAATGACATAGCGAATGGCGAATTCTGATTTTGGATCGTATGAATATTTCACCGCAGAGATCCTTGCAGGTTATAAGTGTACCTAAAGTATGTTCTTCGGATTTCACGGATCCTGAACATCAACATAACTACCTAGTCAGGTCATAAATTCTGTCACATGTTTAATGTAAAATAATTGAAACAAGTTTATTCATTATGTAACCATTCATATACCAAAATGAACTCAACAAAACATAGATTCTTATGACTCTTATGAGCTGGCGCCGAATCTTGTTGGAATACCCAATGTCTGTTATTGAACATGGTATGAGAAACAGGTTCCACAAGGTTCGTCAGGACTGTATTTTGATACACAACTGCATTCGTTTTTACACCTTTCTCACAAAAATGTACCTCTGTTAAGCCCCAATAAGAAACTCCCAACCATACCATGAGCGAGGATGGAAAATGACCTCGTCGGACACGCGGAATACGGTTGCTCGCTTCTTCACTACTGTATGCGTACACCTTATCATTTTGTTTGTTGTAGCTCTCTTCTACGGTAAAAATTTTTTCAACCGAAAAAACAATTTCCCGATATTTTTTTCCCGCGTACCGCTTCAACAAAGCGCGGCATCACTTCAGTCTCAGGTCCATTAGACGAGCATTCAAACGATGTCCTGTTTTTCTTCGATATGCCCGAAGCCCTAAGTCTTCATTTAACACCCTTTTCACCGTGGTTCTGCTTAACCCCATCTGAAGGGCCAACAGTTTCTGCTTACGTTTGGGATTTCTTTGAATTCGCGCCTTCACAGCTTTTATCACTGCTGGAGTCCTAACAGACCGAGGGCGACCACTTCTTGACCTGTCATCTACACTAGAGTCTTTATTGTATCGTTTGATGGTACGATAAACGAATCTTTTGGTTATATTCAAATTTTTCAGTATGTTAAACATTTGAATTGGCGCGTAACCGCAACGATGCAACTCAATAACTGCAACACGGTCTTCTTTAAGCGTCCACTCCATATTTAAAAATGAGTAAAATTCTAAAAGTATACATTTTTATTTTCATGAACAATTCGAAATTCGAATTCAATAAACTTTTTTGTGGCCAGCATTCTAAAAGAAAAGTTTTTACTGTGTGACAATACTTATGACCTGACTAGGTATTTTTACAACTAAATACCGCGTTTTCTATTGTACTCTACAAATACTTTACAGCTTTGTTATATAATGCAAAAACCTAAGAAATTTTTTTTATTTTTGGCTTAGTTTTTTATTATATCCCCGCCGTTTTTTCTGTAGATTTAATCCGTTTAAAAAAATCATTTTAACAACGACTAAGTTGCTATTTGACGGTATGAAGAAAAAACGCATTAGTACAATATTCTAGTGTCGAAGTATAGCACCTTTTACAGATAGAGTATTCTTCTGTTTTATGATAGCTATCGTTCATTAGATTAGTTACTTAAATCGATGCATACTATGTACCAAACACTATTGTACTAGCGGTATACAGAGATGTTTGTATGTCACAGCTAGACACGCCAACGCTGTCTAATATTAGTCACGGCTTTTGGCACCAATAAGAGTTCCACTCTTCCTAGTTAAAGAACTATTTATACTTTATCATCGGCTTGTAGATAATGGCATATTTTTAATAGCGTACTTCCCACAGGCATCTGTTCCTCCAGTGTGAACAGAAAAGAGACTTCTAGACTAGAACTCTAGGCCGATATTCCATTGTACTTTGAACCGAACTTACACCAATAAAGTTCGAAGTAAACTTAGGTAGGACCTCTTGTGAGTCCGCACGGGTAGGTACCACCACCCTGCCTATTTCTGCCGTGAAGCAGAAATGTGTTTCGGTTTGAAGGATAAGGCAGCCGTTATAACTATACTGAGACCTTAGAACTTATATCTGAAGGTGGATGGCGCATTTACGTTGTGGATGTCTATGGGTTCCAGTAACCACTTAACAACAGGTGGGCTGTGAGCACGTCCACCCAACTAAGCAATAAAAATAAAAAATAAAAAAACAATTTTTTTAATAAAATTTATTAAATAAATGCGTGTGAAACTACGCGCAGCAAAGGGTTCCGTACTTGTTATAAAGGTACAAGCTAGAAGAAATCTTTAACACCAAACAGCCTATCGCCTAACCTAAAATATACATTTTCTTATGAACGAATACAACTCCTTTTTTTATTGCTTAGATAGGTGGACGAGCTCACAGCCCACCTGGTATTAATTGGTTACTGGAGCCCATAGACATTTACAACGTAAATGCGCCACCCACCTTTAAATATCAGTTCTAAGGTATCAGTATAGTTACAACGGCTGCTCCGCCCTTCAAGCCGAAACGCATTATTGCTTCACGGCGGAAACAGGCAGGGCGGTGGTACCTATCCGCGCGGACTCACAAGAGGTCCTACCACCAGTAAAAAATATACACGAAATATGAACGAATACAACTCCGCCTATCACAATAAAATCAAATTTACAATACGAATCTATCTATCTATCCGCTGTTTCCAGAATATTGTGTCGTATTCCTATTTTAAAAAAAATATAAACTTACACGATTTTTCAATATCGACAAAATTTCGCCACTGATTCCTAAAAATCATTAAGAGTCATAATATGTTTGATTACCATACAAATCGTTTATAGACAAATAAATGATTGACATCAGTACTGACAGATGACAGACAGATTGGTTCGGTAGGTAGATTCGCGATGCACTGTACGTGGGAGTGTATCGGGCCCCACGCATAACGGAAATCTTTATTTAGTGATATCGAGTACGCGATTCCCCCTCTGTCACACGAGCGGACTACCTGTCGCGCCGACGAGGGGACCGCCAATTCAAATGAAGCGAAGAATATCGGGCGAATTCATTTTTGTATCACGTTCTACGCGATGCGGAATAATCAGCGGATGCCGTAGACTTGACAACATTGGTACACGCATGAAATTAAGTCTCTTTTTTCTTGTAGAACAGCCGAAAATGGAACGTACGATTAATGTATCCATCATAGCTGCGGTAGGCAGCGGCTTGGCTCTGTCCCTGGCATTGCTGAAGTCCATGGGCGACGGTAACCACTCACCATCAGGTGGGCCGTATGCTCGTCTGCCTACAAGGGAAATAAAAAAAAACATTCTCCTGCCTCTTGAGGTCGCCGCAACATGTTTTCTTTTTCCATACTCCTCTATTATGTACCATTTCTTCGCTCACTCCCCTCTTACACATATCGCCTTTCACGCAATCCATCCATTTATTATTAGGCCTACCTCTTCCTCTATATATTTCCACATTCATAGTTAACACTCTCTTACCAAATTTATTTTCATTTCGTCTCATCATATGTCCATAACATCCCAAACGCGCACTTCTCTGTCACAGGTGCCACTTTTAGAATAGCAGAAAATGGAACGTGCGATTATTGTATCCATCATCATTCTCCTGCCCTTCTCCCAGTCACCTGAGGTCGCCGTAACATGTTTTCTTCTTCCATACTCCTCTATCATATATCGTTTCTTCGCTCACTACCCTCTTACACACATAGTCTTTAACGCAATCCATCAATTTCTTCTTAGTTCTACTTCTTCCTCTATATCCTTCCATTTGGGGAGGTTTAAATGACAAAGGGAAGATCTTCCACCGAGCGGGTGATATTTGCTCAGTAGACCGACGGGCCGAATGTTTGTTGTTCGGAACTTGTATATATGCAAGCTTGTCTTGAAAATGTCGTAAGCGAGATTCAGGCATCTGTTAAATATCTTACGTTGTATGATGGCTACCCGCCACATTCCACATTCATAGGTAACACTCTCTTACCAACCTCATTTTCATTTCGTCTCATCACATGTCCAAAACATCCCAAATGCGCACTTCTCAGCTTCTCTGTTACAGGGGTCACTTTTAGAACAGCCGAAAATGGAACGTAATGTATAATGATTGTATCCATGCGGGCCTACAGTAACGCCATTAAAACACCAGGTAAGAGCCCCGTGAGCTCACCTACTCGGTCACGCTGGCATAGCCCCTTGAGGTTACCAGAATAGGTAGATAAAAAAAACCAACTAAATGCCAGAAGGCGATTGCAATTTTGGAAACCCTCCTGTAATA